TTTCTCAATATCTTAAAAAGCAGTCTCTGTAAATTTTGTGTTCCGCAAGATTTTAAAAGAAAATCGCTTTAGACTTAAAAATTTCAACCAGCAACGAATCAAACGCTTCAGCTTGATAACATATGAGTAATTATTTATTATCTACACATACACTCACGGCTTTGTCTATTTTGTATTTTTCAAACATTAGCAAGAGCGGAATTTGATAAAATAAAATTGCTAGTGCGAAATATTTTAATTTCAAATTCAGAATCTTTACAGATTATACATCTGGCTTTGCTAAAATTCAATCCAACCATTACTTTATGGAGCTTCTTGTGTACACAAAGTGTTTAAGAAAGGCCTTATACGGCCTTTATTTTCGAAACTATTGTCATATACTATATACGCTTCCATTACAACAAATGTTTCCAATGATGCAACTATTCATATTTAGGCATTAAATTGTTTTTTACTTTGAAAAAAATCAAGGTATTTCACTTTTTCACGGTATAACAGTAATTATTGTATAAAATATAATACAAAATATTTGATTCTCATTCGACAAAAATTGATAGATATGTTTCATTTTAACATTGGAGATCATCTTCAGAGCCGTACATAAAGTACAAATTCTTTGCATCTGTTAGCAACTAAAAATAAAATATCTGATTAAAGAATTGATTCTGGTGCTAATAGATTAAGTGACGAACTAGCCTATGCAGAATTTTATAAAAAGTGTTGCTCAATACTTTTTTCAAAAAAATATCTCCTTCACAGAATTTAATATAATTCGTTTTCTAAAACACATTGGCAGGCTTCAGTATTGGCGCATAGCCAATTCGTAATATTATTTGCATGAATTTATAATTAAAAATATTTCTAGTTTATTGAATGTTTTTGACATGTCGCGCATTAACACAGTTAAGGCGTTTGAGTACACTATCCTCTATATTGAATTATTTTATTAAAGAGTCATAAGTTACAATAACTACGTAATCTTTATTTAACAAGTTAGAAAGTTTCATTAGCTCAGATAGAACACGAAAATAATACAAATCAAAGTTAACAATCTTTGCAAACATTTAAACCGAGGTGTTGAAACACAGAACTTACAAGAGATTCATTTATAAGTTTTAAATAGCATAAGGCAATATTATCAGAAGTATATTCCATAAAATACGGTAACGTGCTGAAAAAAATTAAACACAAAAGTATTTTTAAGACTTCTTTCCCTCTGAACATAAGTATAATCCTCTCTTGCCAATATACATCGTTTGACCCTCTTTTTATTTATTTTTTTTGACGTTGCCAAGTTTCATTATGCAAAAGTGACACTAATTTATTCTAATAGTTTTGTATGATTATTAGATAATGATTCTTTAAATAACTTCATGAGAATATTAATAACGCATTTCAAGCGTTTCAAAACTTATAAACTGCTTATGTGAAAAAGCAGCACACCATTCATACCTTTCAGCATACCATTTGTAACGAAATTATAAATTATAGAATGTAATTACAATTTGTAATTACACTAGTAAATTACAAATTAAATTATTATTAATTACTATTAAATTTTTAATTACACTAGTAAATTAAATTACAATTGTAATTACACTAGTAAATTACAAAAGGATACCATTGAATGTCCTATAAGGAGCAAAATCAACCTTAAATTATTCTAAATTATTTATTAACCATCCCCCTCAATGCAAGTTGCAAAGTGTCAAATAAACCAAATTTTTAAATTTAATATCTCGTTCAGTTTTTATCGCACGGGAGTAAAGCACTTTTTTTGGCTTTATTTCTTATAATTAGTATAAATTTCTCAGCTATAAGTAGAATAAACGTGGAAGCATATAAAAACTTACATTTTGAAATGTTTATTAAATTATTTTTTTATTTGAAAGTATCAAGAATGAAAAGAATATTTGCGTCATTCAAAACATTTTTGTAATTGGAAGTGTGTATATATATAGATATATAATTACAAAATAATATTTTTGAAAACAAAACTCAAGCATGCCTACTTATTTTCGCAAAAAAGGACATATCATTCTGTATCGCCTATTAAATTTTAGCTAGAGTCTAATAAGAGTAAAGGGAGTTCTTAATTTCGTTTTGTATGTTCTAAATAGGTTTTTCAACTACATCTTAGTTCATTGGATTTTCTGTTTAAAGATTCACATTTAAATTTTTTAATTTTTCACTGAAGTTTTGTTTTTTCACTTTTGTTTTTCACTTTCGTTTTCAATTCTTTTAAAGGGATAGAATTCTCTTTAAGATTTTCCTCATGTTTATAATTTTTAAAAAATTTTCCTTGCTTTGGGGAAGGGCCAGAATTTTCTGAACTTTTATAATTATAATTTAAATACATTGAAATGCTTCATAGGTTAATTCTATATATAGAAAAACAAGGATTTTTGTAGACGAGAGCTTTTAATTAATTTCAAGGTTCCTCCCCTGATGAAATGACATTAAGATTGACTGAACGCCTCTTCTGTTTTTGTTCATTTTTCTTTTAATTTCATAATTTTTGAAGAGAGGTTTTGCTTGTTTCAAATGTTTTGGTTTTAAAATTTTTTTTTAATTTATTATTGAATTTCTATGATTATTTGAAATTTATTAATTATGAATTTCAATTTCTGGTCTTTGTGAAATATTAGTTCTAAATTTCTTACTATATATATATATATATATATATGAGTGTGTGTGTGTGTGTGTGTGTGTGTGTGTAAGAAAAATAAAGAATATGTGAAAGATTAAACTAGCAACGAAATTTCCCTTCTCAATTCTAAAAATTTTAACTTCCTTCTGCACTGCGTCATTTCTAGATTAATACATGTCATGTGACTCTTCTGCCTCCGCCTCCAATTTCCTATTCATTATGGATCAACACTTCTACACCATCCAAATTTCTGCTCGTCATTACTTCTGACTTTGTCTTTATTTCATATACATATGACCAATGGTCGCTAAAATTAGGGCTGGGTAAGAATTTTGGAAAGGCATGTTGTATATTTGGTTGTTTCATATTTATTAACAAATTACAACAAAGATAACTTGCAGAGCCGGTCGAAAATGTTGAAACTACTTACGTGGGAATTACTTATGTCCTACTATGCGCTTACAAAGTGAATGCATTCATTTCATATGTTTAAAGAAGTAGTTAAAAGGAACGAAACTAATTCGTGACCAGATCGTTTTTTAGCCTGTTTAGAATTTGTGAGCAGTGATATCAATGATTTTTCTTGAGTATAGTATGTTCGAAGAGGTTGCAAAAATCAATAAAACGTGGAGCGTGGACACAATGTGTTACAGAATCATAAGTGCATTATTTTCAAAGTTCCATGCCAGTGACGCTGGTATGAACTAGACTATCATTCTGTTATTTACGATGCAATACCGTTTAAACAAAAATAGAAGAAATACCGACATTCGCAAGATATAAGCCCGATATTGAATTTCCATAGCACTACCAACAGTTTCTAGAAGTTTTGCAGCTGCTGTACATACGGTTAAACACTGGATATCTTGGAACTCACAGAACAGCACCAGATACGTCGTATGGAAGCAAGCAATAGTTTCAGTACGCTTATGAACATTTCTATATACAGGGAGCCCACCAGCGGCCGAGCGGTAAAGACGCTGAACACTGGTAGTTCGGTCTGAGGTTCGAATCCCGCGAACGGGCTGGCTGCATGGCCGTTTTCGTGGTTTTCCCCATGTGTAACGTGTATACGAGCCAGTTTCCCTTAGAAAGTCCTCCACGAAAGGCATCCCTCCCTTTAGGCAGATAGCCCTCCTGTGCTTTGCCATAATTAAATACACCAACTATATACAGGGTGATTCTAATTTTTTTTACAAATTAAGAGGAGTGATAGTACTCATTCAGATGAGCAATAATTACCATAGAACATAGGGTCGTATTCCACTCTGAGAGGCAGAAAGAGGAATATTAGAATTCCAACCTGAACTTACAACAGTGTTGGGAAAGCAAATGAACAAGACCAAAAGTTGCGCAATCAGTTTAATGAAAAACTCACAGAGGGTGCACAAAACGGATGAAACCAAAAACTTGGCGTTCGAGTGTTAATTCAAACTCAGACATTAATGGCAAACACTGAAATGTACATCTTTGGTTCACAAGATCACGGCCTCGCAAACGATTGCACTAAGTTAATTATGTAATCAAGGGCTGAATATTTTCAACTAACTCCAACTTCTGCTGTATGCCGAGATTAGAATGAAAAGTTCATGCTGTGCTCCGGCTGTCAGAACTTCGCGTTACGCACGTGTATCTTCCTTCACATATTGCTGTTCACATATTGTATTGTTTATGTAAATTTCATAGTCTTCTCACCATAAACAAATACATAGATTCAGCAGCTGAGCGAGCTAATTGCAAGATGTTTAATAATTTTCACCCTGTGTAATCTGAATAATAAACACTTTATTTTAGAAAATGTTCCATGAAGGTTATAAGGTATTTCTCCCGCCTTTTTGGCATGCCTTCATAGTGTAATCGTCAGCCCGCTGGGCGCGTATTCCAGAGGTCCGTGGTTCGATTCCCGGTGAACGCGTTGAATATTTTTTATCATTCCTGCTTCCAAAATACTTAATGTCTCTACAAGTAGCGCCCGAACTAAAAGGGTTTGGATGATGATTCTCCACACCTAAGATTTGGCGATTGGGTCCCCTAAAACCCCAGTCGCACTTTAAAAGCGGGCGTATAAAAGGTATTTCTCCCGCCTTCTTGGCATGCCTTCGTGGTGGGGTGGTCTGCACGCTGGGCGCGTATTCCAGAGGTTCGCGGTTCGATTTCCGGCGAAGGCGGTTGCTCATTTTTCATCTTTCCAGCTTCCAAATTACCTAATCTCTCTGCGGTAGTTCCCAGGCTGAAGGGGTGTTGGATGATGATTTTCCTCACCCAGAAGTTGGTGTTTCGGTCCCCTAAAATCCCCAGTCGCCCTTTAAAAGGGGAAGTATATAAGGTATTTCTCCCGCCTTCTTTGCATGCTTTCGTAGTGTAATGGTCAGCACGCTGGGCTCCTATTCTAGAGATCCGTGGTTCGATTCCCAGCGAAGGCGTTGCATGTTTTTCATCTTTCTGCTTCCAAAATACCTAATGTCTATACAAGATTCTCATTCAAAGGATAGATAGATATCGAATGTTTTTCAACAATAAATAATCTTGTGGGGTTTTACTTATCTGGAAATGGTAATTAATTTAATAATTCCAAGAGATGAAAAGAGAATTATCGCTATGCCTCTGGTAACTACAGTTTGGGAAAAATTTGAACAACTTTTTCATTTAAACAAAATTTAGAACATAAACACACTTTCTCGTGCTGACAATATTAGCCATAGCTGATTGTGAAGCAACTAAACAGAAACAGTCAAATTTAAGTTAACGCGGCACAGTAGTCAAAGATTGCAGAATTAAATGATACTCGAAGTTGGCTCGGTACTTCTACCGGAGCGTCAAAATCAAAGTTTTAGCAGTGACCTAGTGCAAAGCGGAATAATTACCCCATGAAAGCTTTTAGTAACTAAACGTAGCGTGTACACGCAGGCCTGAAACACGCTCTGCCTTAAAATACAAATACAAAACCCTCAGTTTAAATACTATCTATCTCATTTCCATCTTCGTGAGAAACCGGAAAGGAGAATATATAGTAAAGATTCAAATCATAACAACTGGTTAGTTTAAAAAATATCCCTGCAGCCTAAACTAGCTTCTAGGAAGTGGTTAGATAATAAGGTGCAAGTATTTTTAAATATAAATTCAGAGCATTATTTTCTGCGTCTCTGTGTATGAGGATAGAAATTTTAAAGAGAAGCCATGATTTTTTTCTGTGCTCAAATATGCGATTTATTATTTTTTGACAGGGTACTTATACATTACATAGAATCTGTTGTTAATACTTGGTTCAATTTCTGTAATTACAGAGCCGGTTTTCACAAACGTTTGCATAAGAGACAGGTTCATTTACAGTCATGTGTAATTAAGAAATGTAGACTACAATTAGATTCCATGTCCTGCCGGAGAAGTCCTTCTACGTGCGATATAACAGTATTCGCTCTAACTATAATAGTTCTACTCTCTTGTCACGTACAACCATCATCAGTCGATCTGTGATCAGCCTGGAATTTCATGGGAGGGATTTCTGCACTGGAATGTCAATTTCCACAAACGTTGCCGAGAAACGACGTAAAGTTTGCTAATTGATTTTCGCCTATCTGTTGTCACCAGTTACTAGAAGATGAATAATGTATTACCATGCACATAGAACTGTATTTTAAAAGCTTACTAGCTTGTTGTAGTATGCTTTTAAACAAAATTTTGCCGAAATTATCAGAAATGAGAAATACTGAGGTACAAATTTCCCTGCATATTACGGTGCCTAAAATTGATATAATTTATTAAATTTTGTTTACTTATGAAATATTTTCTATGATATTCAATAGATTTCGTTCGTACTAAGTTTGTTTCTCTGCATATTACATCGACGGTTAACACAAAATCCTTAAAAAGTCATCAAAAATTATTTCCTCAGTTTTCTGTTGAAGTGTAGTTTGTTTGTAGAGCCCCTATATTTTTCGATGCACGAGTCGTGAAAAATGTGCTATGCATTCGAAATTCGAAGTCCGGACCTTCCGAATACGCCTCGTACGTGCTTCCAGTTACACCATGAAAGCACGCGAAAAGGAGGAAGAAAATACCTTATATGTTTGTTTTATATACTAAAGCTTCAGTTGTTCATCATATCTTGATGCTAAAGGAATTTGAAGAATAAACAGAATGTGGATATTTAATTTTAAAATTGAACCTTTAGAAATGCTTCGAAGGACTGAATACAAAAATCTTTCTTAAATACCAGAGCTTCTGGAGTTGAGGCATAGATAAAGCAAGCGAGAAATCTTCCTCGCGTGGAGAACTCAAAAGACACTAAATTAACTAGAAGTTAGAAATTATTGTTGTTTATTCTTTCAGCTTTGAAATACTTCGAAAAGTTCCGTCCCACTTTTGATGAAGTACACCCGGAGACCATTTGGAGGTTCCACTTCTCTTCTTGTGCCACCAGACTACCTGAGAGACTTTCAGGTACCACCAGACTTTCAACTTGCCAGTATTCTAAGTGCCCCATGCCACACAGACGCTATACACTTACAAACATCCATGCTTTCTTTGGTATTTGAACCCGAACTCATGATACGGTAGTTAGAATTGCTAACCACTGTACCGATTGAGAATGCCCTAGTAATAAAGGATTAAAATTAATTATTCATTATCAAAGAAATAGAAAAGAAAATTTAAAATTTCGTATTGTGTTGTGGAATAATTATGACAAAGCGTTTCGGTTAGTTCTGAAGTAATTGGTATTAAGATTACAAAAATATTCATATACATGTGTGCGTGCGTGAGTGCATACATATGTGTGTCAATATTAGTAAAACGGAAAACATGTTCTTAACATCAATCGCAACATATTATGAAAACAACTATAGTAAAATACGTTTTTACCTACTTTATTAAAAAAAGCTTGTTACTAACCATTTTTATTAAATCTAAGTTACAAAGCAAGAGGTTTATTTGCCCACACATGGTTAAATGGATAACCTCACTTGTCACTAGGTTTAAATCGCAACCAACGAGGAGGAGATACATGGAACATTTCATGTTTTTCTCCATATGTAACCTGAATACTAACCCATTTCCCTTAGAAAGCTTTCCTTGAAAGCTCTCTCCTTAAGCAGATCCACTTGATTTGCTTTAACAGGTTAACCGACCAAAACTGAAAACTTATTTAAGAAACAACTATTAAAAACTGTTTACGGCCTAATGTGTGACAGAAAAATTAGTACCTTGTATTTTAGGCAATTTGTAGCTCAACTTTGAAACTATATATAGAATATTTTAACGTAGCCAGTTACAGCTGCTAGAAGTGAGAGAGGCTTCATCAAACTGAAAATTACACAACATTATCTAAGATCTTCACTTGGTGAAGAGACACGCTCAAACATAGCTATAAACATAGCTGATTTTTTAAAAAAAACTGTTCATAATTTTGATTCATTAAAATCAGAAATTTGCAATTATAAAAAATGTCTTAATATCAGTTCTATCGCTTTTATATTTATAACGTCATATATGCTTGGCCTATCAGACAATGTCTTCGAAGTCTGTTCGAAGTCTGATGTCGAAGTCTGTTTCCTGAATTATCACCAAGTAATTTAAAAGTGCTACAAAGATAGGAGAAGGGTGTAAAGAACCATTTATTAACACAAATCAGGTTTCGCAGACGGCAACAACTCGTGCTTACAAAAGCCAGTACCTTTGGCTTCAATGAAAAGGTAACGAATAACTTAAAATGTAATGAAGTTAAGTACAACCAAACGGCTTCACAAGTTAACTATCGTGCAAGCTGGCTATCACTCGAAAGTCGGCATAAACAAGCCTAATGGCATGAATAGCTGAATGCTACCGAAGTCTAATCGCTACAGAATCAAATTAGCGACGTGGTCTTTAGGCAGGCAGAACACGCCCTAATTTCACGCTCCATAACTTTCCCCTGAATACTAACTTCTTTCTACCTCACTTGAAGAAACGCGCTCTAGTCAGTTTGCATTATGGAAAGAAACCGTGAGTTGAAAGCTAGAGTGATTGCAAAGCTGTTTGTAAATAAAATAACTGTTAAGTAAATTAAATAAATTCCCACATCTTTCCTTGCAACAATTTAAGCGTACGGAAAAGATGTCCTTAACGACCTCGTTCAGAACTTAAATTCTAACTATCTAAAAATTCAGAGCACGTTCTTACGACAACGAGAAATTTTAAGTGTAATTATATTTTTTCTTTTACACTACAAGCAGCTGAATCCTCAACAAAAGGTAACAGCCAGGTCGTTCCAGACATCTGGAAGGAAAACGACTTCAGCAGAAAAATTTCAAAACCTGATACTTTACATTATCTTATTCTTATTTAAATATTTCATGTAAATTTATCTGCACTTTCATTCCACTCATTTATTGCATGAATGAAGTCTCTCCCCCATTGCTCTTCAAAAGAAGTGTAGTTTACAGATCGAGACAGTTGCATTTGTATAAGTGACACAACGCTACCATCTACCAGCAACCTATATGCTAATAATTATGACTCATTAGACCTCAAAGATAACCTATTTTCAAAACTGCACCTAATATGGTAACCAAGAGCGTGCTCTAAATTGTGTATTGACTGAAGAGCCTAATTTAACTCATGCAAACAGTTAGCCTTTTTCTTTTAATTTTCTTTACTTCTGCTAACTGGCACATAAACGCCTCGTTCATACAACAAAAATTTAATTCCTATAGCTATGCAAGTCATAATTTACTTTAAAAAGCATATATCTGAGAGTACTTTTACATTTACAACACAAAAAAAAAGACATACTACATTGAATAAAATATTTACAATCCATTAAATTAGAAAATACAGCTTACGCTTTACATCAAGATACAAAAATTGTTTAGAATTTCTTAGCATTTTCTTTCACGTTTCCTTATATAAGTCTTTTCGACTAAAATGTAATTTTTGTTTATCAACTAAATTTAAAATTAACATAAAATGATTGCAATATAACTTCCCAGCTTCTTGCTCTTTAAAAAACTAAAATAACCTCGCTTGAGGCAAAACTCAGAAAAGTCTAGCAACTAGTACTTCTACATATAAAATAAAACTGACCTTAGTAAGGATAAACTAAAATTTCATTTACGTTTTGTTCTTTTGAATTCTTCCATCGTTTTTCTTACGAAGTCGTTCCATATCGTTCCATGTAGGAGTTGGCCTGACGAATCCGGAACTTTTGACTGGGCTGGATTTCATCCTCTGACGTAGCCTTCCGCTTCTTCAACCCTTCACGTAGTCTTGGCAATTTCCATCGGTGTTAGAAACTTTCCTCGGGTTCACCTGTTCGCTTTCTAGGCTTGGAATTCCCCGATGGTCTATCTTTCCAGCACTCTAGGTAATCGGGAATGATGAAATTATCTTGGCCGACTTGGAGTCTCGGTTGCTTGTTCCACTAGCCGCTTGTTCTTTAGTCGTCTCG